CAGTTGCATATTTGGGGTCTGAAGTTGTCCTCACAGAATATTCTGGGGAAAAGGCACAAGCCCTGACTTTCTGCATAATTCCTCAGGTATTTGTGACTCAGGGTTTGGGGATCAGGACCCCTGCTGAGCTCCCCAGGTTTGGTTCAGCTGAAAGCGGGTGCCAGAGACTCAGCATGGGCCAGGGTTGGGGGGATAGGTGCACCTCTCCCTTTTATTGAAGAGGCATCAGGCAATCAAACATTCATCAGAAAGCCAAAACCCAGGCAGAACAAACACTGCCAAGCCAAAAGAACTTTCTGTTTAAGCCACCCAGGCAGCTGACATATGGCATAAAGGAGGGAGGGAAGATGCATTTCTTAGGTACTCACCATGTGCCAGGCATGGGCTAAGCACTTTACCTAGATGATCTCATTTAATCCCTCAATAATCCTTTAGAATATCTACCATTAATTCTGTTTAAAAGATTTAACAACTAACAAACTGAAGCTAAGAGAAAGGAGGTCACTTGCTTCAGGTTAAACCATTAGTAGTAAGTGGATGGTCCTTTTGACCCTAAGGTTTGTATTTTAACCATTCAAAAGAACCCGGAGAAGAGTAGATGCTCCATAAATGTCAGAGAAATGTTCAGAGGAATGTGGGGGGGGGCAGGGAAGACTAATACTTATTAAGCATCTATGATACACCAGTTGCTGTGCTCAGGTTTATAACCAGTCTCTTCCAAGGTGAGTTCACCGGCAACTCTAGACAACTGTAATAACACGGAACATGAGAGTCACGTGGGCAGGGACGCATGAACATAACTGAATGCAAGTTCTTCCTTACATTTCATTTCTCTATCGTCCTCATGTAAACAAAACCTGGAGGCCTGGGGGAGAGGTAATTGAGTGTGCTCCCAGCATCAGAGCAGGCAAGGTTCACTCCTCAAGTCTTACCCTATCATCAGTTTTAAGAACGTAGCAGATTTCCCTCTTCTGGGGCTCTCTGAAGTGTTGCCCACACTCCTCCTTAATCTCTAACCAGGAGAGCTTTCCTTTGGGTCCAACCGACCTTTGACCAGTAGAGAAAAACCGGTCCACGTAAGTGTTCCGGGACCAAAGTCTGCAACATTTGTACCTTCTAATGATTTCCCATATTTGGACCAAAGAACTACCTGTCACAAAAATTAGGGAAAATACTATGCAAATTGTTTCTCTCCATTGAGGAATCCCAAATGAAACAAGTTCTTCAGTTACAACAAGCCTCATTGTTATGAAAAATGTTGCAGTTTTAGGCACCATCAATTCAACATAAAATGTTTTGGCCTGGGATATTTTTTGATAAACCCATGTAGGTTTTTGCTTAAATGTGACTGTGGATTTTTTCCACCTCTTTGAATCAGGGAAACAGAATGCTTAGACCCACACAGAAGATCAGTTTCAGAAGCTCTGTTTAAAAAAAAAAAAACAAAAAACTTATGCAAGTTGAAAGAGAATTGGTCTGTGAAGGGCGTTTTAGTTCTCCATTGATTTCTAATCTCATGAAGCTGAGATCTTGTGCACTAAAGTGACTGAACCCCCATCCTCTAATACATTCCTGAGCACATGGTAAGCTAAAAGAAAGAAACTATTGAATAGGTAATAGCAAATGTATATCACTATCATATAATATGGAAATCTAAGGCATTATGCCCTGCTCTATAATTTACATATTAATTATATGGCCCAAGATCAGATAAACCTTAAACTTTTCCTCTATGGATAACCATGAGATATCTTTCAAATACTTCACAGCACTCAGTCATGCATTAATAAAGTGAGATCAACAGATGAAAAGTAACTGGAAATAAAAATCTCCTCCTCTCTCAATACTCATGGAGCGGGTGATTCCCTGAATCTCTCCATCAAAATACTTATAATGCTGGATGGCAATCACTCCTTTCCTAGTCTATCTACCCTGCTGGACTCTGCACTGTCAGAACATGGCTGTCTTGGTTTCCTCGGGCTCCCAGAATTTAGGTGGATGAATGCTGTTTGATGAATGTTTAATAACCATTTTCGGAAGGTTGAAGGAATTTACTTCATCCTTGTCACTGATGTGGGAACAGTTGTCCCTGAACAGTCTGCTTCTTGAAAGGCAAGAAAAAAAATTCATGAAATGCTTCACACTTCCTCAAAAGACATCTGATGTCTGTCTAGGGACAAGATGCTTCTTGGGCCCCACATCGAGGCGAGGATTCCAATCTTTCTCCACCACTAACTAGGTGCATTTCCTTGGGAGGGTTACACGGTCCACCGAAAATTTTATCGTTTCCTCCTCTGCAGAATCCAGACAATGAATACTCATCTAGAGAAGGTTCATGTAGATTAAATCAGACCATGCATGACAAGCCCCCAACTATAATTTACAGATTCACATTTTACCTTTTAGCTGTGGCACAATATCCTCTTTTCCGGCATAAGGGTCACAGCGAAAACGGTCCAAGTGGTCAATGGTGCACTGTCCGACCACTGGCTTCCGCCCAAACTGCCTGTGGTCAATAACTTTGATCACCAGAGGAGGCATGTACAATTCATCCTTGGGCAAGAACTGGGGGTCAAAAGAATGGGTGTCATTTCTTTTTGCAAGACGCAACAAAAGCAGCTTTGCTAATAAATTCCCTGAAGGGACCAACCCAGATTATTTTTGCCCACTATGCACAGCGTGAGGGACGAAGAGTAAGTAGTTTAGTGAGTTATGTGCTAGACGAGTGGCTGGCTCTGCCACCATGGACTGCAGGACTTCAGGGAACTTTTCTAAAACCCTCCACCCCATGCCTAGTAATTAATATACGTGAAGTGCTTAGAACGGTACCTGGCCCACGATAACACTATGTGTCTTGGGTAACAGGATGTGGATTTGGCTTTCTTTACCACTGACCCTGTACTCTGCTTCCTGAGCGGGGATTTGTATGAGACTGATGAGCCCAGAACTTTGGTCAACTACTAGCCAAGTCCTGAGCAGAATTTAGAAATGATCGAGACAAAACTAAATTTCCCAGGGAAATAACAGTGGCCAGGAGTCTTTTAGCCCTAGAAGTTCAAGGCCAAAGTGAGGTGCTCACTTTTCCTTGCCCACTCCTGGAATTTGTGGGCCTTGATGGTTGTCCATCATGGGCTGGTTCATGAGTCTCCTTGTGATTCAGGTGAATTTCTATCTCTGACTTCATAAAAGAATAGAAGCTGGGGTTCACTGAGTGGCTTTTTTGCTGACTACACTAGACGGGGGAAGGTAGAAGAGGGGTGGAGAGTAAACAAGAATGAGTGCAGTGGCCCAAGGGAGACCAGGGATTCGGGCTCCAGGCATCTACATGGCTCCCCATCTGCAGCATTATGGGGCAAGATATGGGCTTTGGAGTTGGAAGAACCTGAGTCTAAACTCTGGCCAGCCACTTGCTAGCCATGTTCCCCTGTGTACACTAGTTAAGCTCTTTGTTGCCTCCAAAGTGAGGGAGGAGGGGTAAAAATGTCCACCCTGCCAGTTTAACACCTGCCTTCACCTAGCACTGAGCCACAGCAGTGGATGAAATTAGGGTACAGTCACTGTCACCTGGAAGATGCAGCCTGACATTTGCAATCACATTGGACAAGTCGTTTCTCCTAAGTCTCACTTTCTTCATCTGCAAAATGAGAGCTTAAGCCACGTGGCTGTAGTGTTCAAGGGCATGTGCTGGAGACACCGCGCAGGCAGGAAAATGACTGGGGTGGGGCAAGAAATGGAAGGTTCTAGGCCTTCCATTCCTTCAAGCTCAGAAGATGCCTGGAATCAACCTCTTTTATACAGTGAAGTAAAAAAGGAGGATTTTTCATTTTGTAAAAGTTATCTGCTTTAAAAACAGAAGTCCTGGTGACCTCTTCTTGCTCCAAGTAATACAAGGTCACTGGTAGAGGACTGTGAAGTGTCTCTGATGCTTCCCACCTCTCATAACCATAGGCAACGGTGATGGAATAAAGAAGGTACCACCCCAGGGACACAGTCACGAACTGTCAAGAAAACGGCCCATCACCCGCTAGGGATTCCCCCATAGCTGCCCCTTCCCCAGACAGACAGTCCCTATCCAGAGGGTTCTGGCCCATGTGCCTCTGTAGGGGCACAATGGGGGTTAATATTCCACCTTTGGGGAGCTGACCAAGGGCCTATAATAAATAGAGAACAGAATAAATGGA